GGCATTTATCAGCCGTAAGTTGAAGTAGCCAGCTCCCAAATACTCTGGTTCCCGTGATATATCACTTATTAAAGCTTAATATGTCGCATTAAGACAAGGGCTGTCTGAGGAATGATCAAACAAAAGAGGAGATCTACTGCGGTATATAGTGTGGGACACGTTATCGCGTTGTGCGTCATCGTATGCCTGCATGTCTGCTCGCCAGGATTGGGAGGTGCGCCGTACAACTCTGTGTGCAGCGACCGTACAAACAGTAACCAATCATCAACCTCTGTTTGTTTAACCTAATCCCCCATCCTGATCATGAGTAGCTCACTGCGTGTACACTTGATCCACAATATACTGACTGAATAAACGTGCTCCGAGCTACACGTCTGTTTCCTTTATAGCTGGGCTATAGCTTAGCTGGTTCTGGGAGTCTAGCTAGATGTAGGAGAATCTGCCATAGAGATTTCTGAGTCAGTCAGGCTTTAATAAAGTAGCAATCCGCTACAATAGAAAATCGACTTTTGTACAACAGTATACTATTAGTAGTAGCTCAGCCCTGACTTCTCATCCTGTTAAAAGTAGAGAGACCAGACTACTTACCCCATTATTTAAAATAATATTCAAATAAAGCACCACCTGAGTGATTTGAATCGCTCTTTTTTGAGCAGAGCTCTTTGTAGGGCAAGTAAATGGGGATTCTTTTGAGAAGGACCTTTTGTGGTTGGGTAATGTGAACTAAATAGATCTCTACCAAATGGCATGCCATATCGATAGGGGCAAACCAATATGAAAAAAGAAAATACAAAAAACCTATAGGATGCATGAAAAGGAGAAGCGAACGTTAGAAATGGAGGTTAGAGGTGGCAGTTTGACTATTTCCCTTAATTGTCTCTAAGAGCGACCGATGATCACGTGGCTTGATCTCGTCGGTTCGGCTCCCATTTTATTCCCCTCTGTATGAAGGCAGGCATGAATTACGCTTTGTTTCAACATTTTTACGTTTCTTGGCTTAAATAGACAGCGAAAGATCGAATGAAAATATAGATTGAGAAGAGAACCCAAAATACACAAGGCATATGCGATAGACTTACCTCCACGTGGGGCAACCTGGGCAACGTATACTCATACGGCAAAGAAGTCTATTAACTGGCAGTTGACTTCTGGCTTTTAACTACCATCACCCCACTGTATGTCATATTCGACTACTTTCACAGTACTCATCTCACCTTTTTCTACATTTGTATCTGTCTCTTTTACATCTTTGAAACACTCTTCTGTTCCCCCTCCCCCCTCTCAAATTTTTTTTTCACTTAAATATTTTTTCTCCTCTGTGAGGCCTGAAGTCACCTAAAGGTGTAATGAAACTATCAAAATGCCTGCCATTTGATATGAATATTACAAAAGAAAAGACAATAATAGTCTAGAATTTGGAGTAGCATTGTTGCACTCTACACCCGNTTTGACTTCTTTTGTACATAGTTTTCATAAAATTAAGCCAAGTTGCAAAATCTCATAACTTCCATTAACATTAGTATTTCAAATGGCACATAGGTATGCAGGATATTCCGGATTTGGATCTTTATGTTCTGTGACATTCCTCCTGCATTCCACTGAAAAAATCTGTAGAAGTTGAGATTCGACCTGTCGAGGGCGATTTCTCTTATAAATTCGTTTCAAGATGATCATAATAAATAGAAGTCGAATGCCGAGTAAAAGAATTTTTTGCCGTAGGAATATACGTTGTCCATGGTGCACCACGTGGAGGTAAGTCTGTTGTACACCCCCACTTCCATTAACATAATAATTATCATTATAACGAGTGATAATGACACCCAAGTAGCCGTTCTTCTCTCTCAGGTTCTATATTATAATAAAGATTCATTCACTTTTGCTCATATTTAAAATCTAAAAGTTTCCTAAACTAAGTTCGAACACTGTTTAATGGGAGAGGAAATTTCAAAATGTAGTATATTCAATTATATATAAAATTTCTATACCAAGTGTGTGCGATAGACTTACCTCCACGTGATGCACCTTCGGCCACGTATACTCGTGCCGCAAAAAAGTCTATAAACCGGCAGTTGACTTCTGAGTTCAGACAAAAAAGTCTATAAACCGGCAGTTGACTTCTGAGTTCAAACTATCATGACTAGACTATATGTCATATTGGACCACTTTCACAGTACTCTCCTCACCTTTCATATACCTTTGTGTCTGTCTCTTTTACATCTTTAAAACACTCTTCTGTTCCCCACACCCCTCTCGACTTTTTTCGCTTTGATGTTCCTCTCCCTCTGTGAAGCCCGAAGTCAACTAAAGGGCTAATGATGACTATCATAAAGCCTGTCATTTGATATAAATAAATGCCAAGTGAGGCACAATTTGCGCTTAATGTAGAGAAAGGTCATTCACTTTTACTTAATACTGCTAGTTTACTGTCGCCTGGCGCATTGTCTTTCTCGAGAGATGTGTCACCTCCAGAATCAACTCTTTTTTCTACATACATGAAAATCAACTTACCATCTGCACCAACGAGTGGCCTCGAATGGAGANTTGTTTCAACATTTTTACGTTTCTTGGCTTAAATAGACAGCGAAAGATCGAATGAAAATATAGATTGAGAAGAGAACCCAAAATACACAAGGCATATGCGATAGACTTACCTCCACGTGGGGCAACCTGGGCAACGTATACTCATACGGCAAAGAAGTCTATTAACTGGCAGTTGACTTCTGGCTTTTAACTACCATCACCCCACTGTATGTCATATTCGACTACTTTCACAGTACTCATCTCACCTTTTTCTACATTTGTATCTGTCTCTTTTACATCTTTGAAACACTCTTCTGTTCCCCCTCCCCCCTCTCAAATTTTTTTTTCACTTAAATATTTTTTCTCCTCTGTGAGGCCTGAAGTCACCTAAAGGTGTAATGAAACTATCAAAATGCCTGCCATTTGATATGAATATTACAAAAGAAAAGACAATAATAGTCTAGAATTTGGAGTAGCATTGTTGCACTCTACACCCGTTGATCTACTTCCTGCCAAGTGCTTCACAATTTGCTAATGCAGTTGCCTACTTCCAACACCTTATTAACTGCTTGATTGATTAGCTTTCAACTTGCACTGATGTCTTGAGTCAGCCAGCATTTCACAAAGGCAAATTGTCAATCGCTTAGATGAATTTCCTAGATTAGAAAAACCAGAATTTTTATGTGCATTTAGTAATAATAGAAATGACAGATGTCATGAAAGCCACTAGCAGAATGTGAGCTACTACTACGATGGCATGCCGCATTTTGGTATTTATTGATTTTTAATCTACACTGTTGAAGGGCATTTGAATCTGCCTACCATCGAATTATCAGCTGGTCTCAACTACTAACGCCGGTAATGCTGTTTCATGGGTTTCGCCTTCTGCGAGGCACAGCTTTTTTATATCTCGAAATTACAGCTTTTCAAGGCATTTTGAAGGATACTTAGGTGGATCTCATTTAACTGGAGGTCCGTTGAGTTCTTTTTTATTATGATCTTTCTAAGTTCTGATTGTGATTCACTGCTTTTACACAACTTAATAACACTCAACTAAGGCTTGTAACAAATCAGGCGACTCTAAAGGAACACGTTTGAAAAAAACTGCTCTTTGAAGAGTCACTTTGAGGTGATACACTCAAATAAGCAACGCACACTGAAATGGCTCCTACGTTAAAAACTGAGGCCCAATGTTTGGAGACACCGCTGAATAAGAAAACATTGAAAGACGTAGCAGAAAAGGTAGAACCCGAGACTGGTAACTCCCCCTTCTACAATGTGGTGGTGAAGAATGCTGCGGTTCGCTTAAAATCAGCTGAAAAGGGAGGGAAGAAACTAAAGTCGTTTAAATTCAAGAAAGTTGATGAAATGCATGTCGATGAACGCGGCAATATGGTGACTCTGGGAGTTGAGCGTAAGAAAAACAAGATGGTGTGTCTGGCTATGAAATTTGGAGTAATCGATGAAAGAGAGAAGTTTCAAGATCTTGCTAAATGGAGCAATCCTTTGATAAGATTTTCAACCAGGAATTATGCTTTGAATGATGTCAAGGAGGATAAATCTGAACTTAAAATGGAACAGGCTACTTCAAGTGGATATGAAACCGCTCCAAATAGAAATCAAAATAGAGCAAGAAGTCAACATCCTCCTTTTTCGCTCCGGCAATCTGGAGAACCGCCTAGATTTCCCTCAAGGTACTCATCTTCTTCCAAAGGCGATTATTACCTAACAGACGGAAGCCAAGGACTTTCATCGCGTTATAGAACGAACTCAATAGGTTCTCCCTATCACCAAGTCAATAAAAATCGATTCAAATCAAATGATATGGAGTCTCTTCCCCCGTCAGAGTTTTCTGCCTATTCTATGAGATCACCAAACGTTGTTAGTACCAGTGTGTCCTATGCTGGCCCGAATGGCTCAACAGCTAGAATTTATCGACCTCGAAGCCAAAAAGCCCCACGTTCGAGTAGGAAAAAAAACCTACTGGATATTAGATCTGATGACTCCGATGAAAGCGCTTTCATAAATTCGACTATAAGGGAGCGAAGAGGTGGTGGCAGAAAGAAGGAGTTGGTTCCCATTGATTATGCTGTCCCAAAAGAATCTCGCAATTTCCACAGGCTCAATAGGCAGCCTTTGACTGCAGGCTCCAGGAAAAGAAAGTCACGAAGTCACGATAGAAGTCATAGAAATGACAGCCCCGTGACGTGTCCTGTGATCTATTTACTTTGGGATTCAAGTGGAGAGGAGGAGGAGGAGAGCGATTATGAGTATGCCGAATCACCTTCCAACTATAGGGACAGCTTATACTCCTCGGCAAGTGAGTGTTCTGGTAAATTGGAAAACGCTGAAATGTTGCTACGGGAATTGCATAGGCAGAGAAATGTTCGCCATCGGTAATTATAATTTTCTGCCTATTTTCTTGTCCTATCTAAATTATTTTCGAATATGAACAGCCACATTTTCTTTGCTTATGTTTTATTCTAACGTTGTTTTGTCGTTATGTTTTGTTTAAACAATATATATTGAAAATTTATCGACTAGATTCTAATAAACCCGGAAATTAATTAAATCCCGAGGTTGACAACTCAAAAACTTTTTCATTTCACATTGTCGTGTGACATTCTCTGGTTATAGTTAATAAATCCAGTTTATGATATTAGTTATCCGAAAGATTTCTCTTTTCTTTAGCCTATTAATCAATATGTTTAATAGTTCCTTATTTATACAAATCTATCCTAAAATCTCAAGATGAACTCAGAAATAAGAAACTTTGGTGAAGAATATTAGCATATAAGCACCCTGTCTTAAAGAAGCTTGTTTCACGGGCTGTTAGATCAAAAAATGAATGGCACATTATCATGATTCTTTGGAAATCATTAAATCTTTTTTGAATATTCTTCATTTTTTTCGAATTTAACACTCGGTTTCCTTGGCTAGAAATTAAGTCAGAAATAGCTTTTTTCAATTTTCTCCCAATTTAACCTTTTATAGTATCCTTGTCATGATACTCTGTTCAAATAATACTAAAAAAACCTTGTTTATCTTATAATCCCAAGTTACTTGATATGCGCAGATACCAAACAAATAATCCTTTTTTTGGTATTCAACTCAGAAGTTCGACTAGCTGTAAGCAACTACAGCTAGCTTCTAGCAGGATTCTCAGCTATAAACTGCTTTCAAAGCCAAATAGGTTACGTTAGGTAAAGGGAGCATACGAAAGATATTCTAAGGGAGATTATTTACTAACTCCTTCATTTGATAAATGACATTTATATATTTATTTATATCAAATGGCAGACCTTATGATAGTTATCATTAGCCCTTTAGCTGACTTCGGACTTCACAGCAGAGAGGAACATCAAAGGCACACAAAGTCGAGATTGGTAGTTATCATTAGCCCTTTAGCTGACTTCGGACTTCACAGCAGAGAGGAACATCAAAGGCACACAAAGTCGAGAGAGGGAACAGAAGAGTGATTTATAGATGTAAAGGTGACAGACATAAAGGTAAAGAGTAGGATAAGGTGGGTACTGTGGAGGTGGTCGATTGGGAAGTGGGAAGTCAACTGTCGGTTGATAGACCTTTTGCCGTATGAGAA